ATTGTTTACGGAGTCTTAAAGAAGGATTTTGTGTAGTCTATTTCTACAGGCATGCTTGAATCATGCTTAAGATTAGCGGCTTTTCCTTATTCATTTCCTATTTGTACACACGTCGTGATTATTACGTGGGCTTTTGGCAGAGGCAGATTCCATTTGCCTTTAAGTAGCTTTAAGGCGTCGCAAATACTAGTACTTATCAAATATCTTGCATTGTATTTGAAATAGTCATCGTTTATTTCTGCAATATGGATCTTTATGAAAACGTGTGCGTAATATCACTACACAAATTTCCCATCTTTAAGCACATCTGAAGCACACGTAAAGGTACAAGTAACTGAGGAAACGGAATCTTTACGTACTGTTTAAGGTGTGCTTTAAGAATATATATGTGTTGGTTCATTGCCACGTTGGGCCTAGAGGCTAGGTTTCACGCAGGTCACGTACAATCAAGGAGTCATGGGATTGTGGGAGAATGGACTAACAGACCGTATATGTAGGTTATAGCTTTGAGAAAGAATAGGCATGTGGCAAAATGTCCCTTAAAATTTTACCCTAGTGACGCATGGATACTTCGGAATGAAAGCATTTACACAGACCAAGGCTTATCATTTATGGCAATATGTGTAGAAAGCAGCGCTAGCTCCCACGACTGTTTTTATAATACCGGGCAACGAATATTCTGAGCTGTTTTTCACGTAGCAGACCGGTAATAGCTGGACTGGATAAACTCCAGTGTACAGGAAAACCATATGTACAGGGTTCGGAAAATATTGTGCTAAAATGTGCATGACTTCACATCTGTGCAATGTAAAGGACAGCTTGGAGAGCTGTGGTCTTGTTTCTAGGGCATATATATTAGTTGTAACCAAGCGAGCTCGATAATTTTGACATCGTACCATTCTAATGTTACGTTTGAGTGAGGAAGCTATACTACATAATGTCCTTGGTTTGAGCCTGCTTATCGGGCTTTTATGACTTTTGTCCTTGGTACTGACTGTTGGAAACCCCGTTAAACCTAGCCTCTAACCAGGCTTCGGCGGAAAGAATAGAAATTGACAAAGTAGACAGGTGACATCATGCCCGTAGCCAGGATTTTGTTTGAGGGGGGGGGGGGGGTTCTTCCCAGCCTACTGTCCGAAATGTTGAAAATTGAACCTTCTGAAATGGCATTTCCTGCGTTTTTGAGAGGGTTTCAAATGAAAAATCAGAGACACAGAAGTAAGCAGTTTTTCTAGGATTCCAGTCCCGCTGTTGATACAAATCAGTCCACCTTTTAAAGAAAAAAATCTGGACCTTCCGAACACCCCCCCCCTGGCTACAGGCATGGACACGCCATCTGTCTATTTGCCACAGTTTCTACTCTTTTCAGCCGCTTCCCGAAGCCTGGTAGAGGCTATGTCGAACCAGCAATGACCAAATGCTACCGGGGCCCTGCCACTTATATATACACTCCAGGAAATAGCCCAGCGTTTTTGGCAATTGTCGCTCAATTTGAAGCCCCTTGTGAGATCTGTCCTTGGTACTAAGCGACCTTCCCCCGAATTAATCTCGACTAAATACAGCCGTAAGGTCAAGACCCGATAATCTGTTGTAGACCTACAGATATGCGCCGGGCGGATCGGTAAGGAAGTGTATGTGAGAAACGCAAACGTCTGGGGGAGACAAATACACGACTGTAACTCAATGTTGTAACTCAATGTTGTATTTCAAAGCGGGGTCGTGTGGCGCATTCGGTAGCGCGTTCGGCTCACACCCAAGCTAAGAGGTCGCGGGTTCGAATCCTGTCACCGATCTTGTGCCCTCGGGAAAGGCACTTTACACGACTTACCTCACTTCACTCGGGTGGAAATGAGTACCTAGCTTTGGTTAGGGACGTCCCTCGGATAGGACGTTAAATGGACGTCCCGTGTTTGGGGAGAGCCACACCCCACGCACGTTAAAAAACCCACCACACTTATTGAAAAGAGTAGGGGACCTTCCCGGTGTCAGTGGTTCAGTCCGGTCAGTCCCGGTACAGTCCGGTCTTACGCAGCTTGTACATGTACACAACTGTCACGCCTAAAGGCGGTTTACCGGTTATGCGAAACAAACAAAAGTCAGGTCAAAAACATTGTTGGCAGCATTTTGTCTCTTTATTTGCAGACCAATCCTGACTGTCAATTAGAAGTTTGACCAATGACAGCATGGCAATTATCGGCTCGACCAATGAGAGGGTGGCTGTCAGATATTTGCTTGTTCATGTTTTGATCGGTCTATTATGCTCTGAGAGGCGAATATACCTCGTAGTCTTTGTTCAAATTATATCATATCCATGTCTTTATATGATTTAATAATCCAGAAATCGGGTTATAGAAAGTGAATAATAAACATTTAAAAACCTTTGAAGGGACACAATTATAATGGATGACACTTCCATATGTTTCTGCCCAAGAGGAAGTTATATCTCCTTTTGTATTCTTTTAATTGGAGCCAAATTAAGCAGCATTGTAACTCGGTCTCACATGTACACATGTTTCTGTCTCCTGAATAAAGGATTTGAGAAGGACATGGTGGGATGGAAAAGACAGATCTTTTTGATCTAGATTTCGGACTAGGCACGAAAGTACATGTATTTTTGAAGACTGACAACAATGGTATGAATAACCTCAAGGAGCTTTCAACAGTTGAAAGCTTCTTGATAAAATGAAGTATTCAAGTAAGCATTATGAAGCACAGTGAAGCATGATTTGAAATGTAGTATATTTATTATTTTTCTGTACAGCACAATTAAAATGACAGCTACACTTTTCTGTTGAACACTTTTATATATGCAAATATCCTTGACATATTTCTCTTATATTTCATATTTCACACTTTTCAATCCAGCTTGTGTATGGCCACTTCCATGATTTGCACTATTCTTGGCAACTATTTATTTCTTATAGGTAGGAAAATGAGAAAAGGCCCAGAGGAAGCTTTCATGTGGTGATATCATTGTTGTCCTTTGTTGTAGATATGGAATCATCTTTTCTACCGTCTGGACCATGTCTGGTATCATCACTTCTTGTGTCTTCTTCAGAATCCTCTGTTGTCTCTTCTCCCCAGTCGGTATCCTTGTCATAACCAGGAGGAAAGACCCCCTGCTGCTTCAAAACATCTTTTGGCAGAGTGTCGTCAGGTTTGAGAACGAAACTTTTCCTCTCTGGCAGACCGACGGGAAGAGCTATCCTCCAGTCTCTGGTGGTGTAAAACTTCAGTAGAATCTCAAACACTGGGAGAACAGGAAAAAAAAAAGAAATCAGAGAAATTTAGACCTCCAGGAGTTGTTTTAGATTTTGTGAATGTATTGGAATTGTATTGCATGATCGTGGGGGAAACACCCGATTGAATTACGTAGAATGAACTATGTATTGACTATACTCTGTATACGACTGTATGATGTAACTTACTGAGGCGCAAACTTTGCTGGTAGACTAAGCTTAGTTTAATGACATATCTTGTCCTATCTCTACACTCTTACTTTTGTGTGTCAAAGTCTAACTTTTTGTCTGTCATGAGCAGCAAAATTCTGTCAAATGACGGAAGACAGACGCATGCTAAAACACTGGGTATCCCCCACCTTGGTTAACTGTTAGGATGCTGTTGCCCTTGCTGCCGGGTTGTCTCTGCATGAACACATCGATGGGGAGTTTGGCAGTCTGTAAACCCTTTTCTGTGGCCTGTGTTATGGTCACATTCTGAGGGAAAAATCACAACATTCTTTAATAGCAGGGTAACAAGAATATCGCTCTGTTTATCTGTACATGATGTCTTTAAACCATGAACTGTTTGTTTAAGTGGCCAGGTGGTCTAGTGGTTATGGATGTTGACTTAGAATCTAACGGTTCTGGGTTTGAATCCCTTGCAAGTCACAATGTTGTGCATCTGAAATACATATACCAGTACATGTTTTTCTATCAGTTGTCGAGATAAGACTTACCTTCTGTACTGTTTCATCCACGAGTCCTCCAATAACATACACCTTCTTGTCATCCAGCTCTAAGAGATCTGAAAGAACAGAAATTTAGTACATGATGTGTATTTCCAAACCCCCTCTGGCAGAATGTATTGAAACTGCAGTGTGATATACATGTATACATGCACACACACACACACACACACACACACACACACACACACGTACACACACAGACATACACTTGCACATAAAAAGTGAAGAAAAGATGTACCATTTGGAGAATCTGGAGAGAGGTAGACAATGTCTTCTTTCTCAAACACTTCCAGAAAGTGCTTTGAAGTCTGTTCAATCTGTGAAAATATCATTGACAGGCAGAAATCAGAACAATCTTCACCCACTTACTTATTTATTCATTTATCTATGAAGATTTACAACATTAGTGGAAGGAATTGACATAACAGGTAACTATCACCTCTTCAAAGATGTCAAACCTGAGACAAGACTGTAAGGTTTGAACATGCGTACTCATTTACACCTGAGTGAAGTGAGGAAAGTCATAAAAAGTGCCTTTCCCCAGGGCACAAGATCGGTGACATTGGGCAGGATTGGAACCCGGGAACTCTTGGGTCTGAGCAGAACACTCTACCGTTACACCACACGATGCCACTTATATTTATTATTATTATTACTTCCGATCCTCCCTGATCTATCGACAAGATATGCAAACTCTTCATAAACCAGCTCTAGTCAAAACAGTACTTCCACCCCACAAGTACACAAGTACTCAAAAAAGAGTGAACTAACCCCCAGGAAGTGTTGGAACCCTTCATTCCTGCGGACACACTCCCTGTGGAGCATGCCGTCCTGCATCAGACTGGTCAGGTACACGTGGAAGGGACGTTCTGACAACTTGTTGGCGCCGTGAACTCGACCCACCTGGCCTGCAAGTCGAGACGCTTCCTGAAAGGACAACACAATCCTCCATGAAGTAAGAGCTATAGTTTGGTATCCTTAGGTGAAGATTTACACGACGTGAGTATCTTCACTGCACTTCCCTAAATTAGGGTTTGTTGACAGTAATACAGAGGAGTTGTGAACCTGTGAACATGCACACCTGTGAACATGTACAAGACCACAATACTCTGCCACGGAGGTCACTGAGATAGTGCACTTGATCATATCAAATTTGTGGACATGAAGAAACTTAGTACTTAAACTATGATTGCAAGGTGACTCACTTGCTGAAATAGCAAAATCAGATATACTTTTTTCTTTAATTTCTTTTTATGGGGGCACACCCCAGTTTCTCACTCCCATTGGAACCTATAGTTAAGAGGCCTTTTTCACGGACGCCGCACGGCATGAAGGAAATTTTAGCCAAGAATGCAACCTATATGGAAAGAAAACGCGTACTCTACTGCCAAATATATCTCATTCTAAAAGAAATCCTAACACTAGGAAAAGCACAATAACGGTTATCCTGATGCATGTCGACAGCCCCTGGTAGTGACGTCATCAGCCAGGCCGCCTAGGACGCTTCACCGTTCCCGGCCTCGGAGCGATACCCGGAAGCGAAGATTCGCCGACCAAAACTAACCCAAAAGAAGCTATTAGGGTCGCACTTCATGGCAACGTTGAGCTGATTATACCACAACCCTCATACACTAATTAGCTTGGCACAGAAAAACCCTTACTCCAAAATAAACAGGGACTACAGTGGACCCCTGTCGCGGAAGAATTGGGTTGTGCACCGTTAAATGAATAGAGCAATGTTGACAGGAGACTATCCTTGACAAACTGAAGGAAACAAAAATTTGCTCTGTGATAAAAGTTCATTTCAACCCACCTTCTGTGTCATCTTTTCTCCAAAGCTCATGTCTAGGACCACCTTCAGTCCTTGCTCCGTGGCCCTTGTGAGCTTCCTTCTGATACATTTCTGACGTTCTAGCTTGCTCATCTGCCCTTCCCTGCTCGATGCTGCAGTAACAAGAAATCAGAGACTTCAGACTTTTGGGAAGTGTTTTGGATATCCGTGAATATATTAGAACTGGACTACATCATGTCTGTTTCAAGCTTACTAAAAAAGGTACTTTTCTGGGCAAAGTGCAAACAGGACTTGGTAGTCAATAGTATGAAAGTACAATGTAAATGTTACACAAGGTTAAAAGCTTGATTAACAGCACCACCTACCTGCTGATGTGGGTAGTGCAGCACCCTCTTGCAGTTGATCTCCAGCTACTTTAGCGAGACATTCCAGCTGCTACAATAAGTCATTAATGACATGAATATTAATCTAAGACATTTAATCCCAATCAAGTACACATTTTTAGTTTCTCTTATTAGTAAATCACACATCTCACAACTTATTAACATTTCCAGTTTATGGCAGTTACACATACAGAGTTACTTATAAAGTATATGTTATAATGTTATAGTACAATTGTGGTACAGACTAGAGAATTCAATACAGATATTTGTGCAGATTACGTCTGGAAAAGGTCTTTCTAATACAATTTGCTGCATTACTGTAAATGCAGAAACTTTATTGGAGGTTTCATTTTCACAGTTTTCACAAGTTGTATTACTGTAGCACAGAGTTGTATCAACTACATATTTCAGATCGTAGAAACCCCCCTTTTCCCTTCCAACCCTGAGATTTAATTATTGTGAAATTAAATACGTTTACGGTACTTTTGTTCTTTCTTTCTTCCTCTGTTGAGACTCCTTCTTTTTCTCCTTCCTGTGTAGCCGACGGTTCTCTGTGATTCGCAGGTACTTCAGTCGCTTCCTGCGCTGTCTTTTCTGCAGGAAAACAGAAGCGAACAAGAACCAGTTAATACATTTCTTAAAAGCTAATTTTCGTGGTTGTGTTAGTCAAATATTACCCGTGCAATCACAGCCTTTTATGGCGCTGACTTGGTGCAGGGTTTACAATCACATAATACACATGATAATGATGACACATATAACATATTCGCCAGCCAACAGTCTGGCACCCAGGCTATTAAAGGCCTTGGTAGTACATACTGAGAGATGCTCCATCCCTGTTACAGTTTCTCCTTCAGTCTCCATCTCTTCTAACTGTGCTGTACCATCTTCCTCCTCTCCATACAGCATCTTTCAGTAAAAAAAAAAGAAATATTAATTATGGTGAATGTTGTTTTCTCATTGGTTTGGTTTTTCTTTTAATGCCCACAATCATGATAATGATCATTCTGGCATACTCATTTTCACCTTGAGCGCAGTGAGGAAAGTTGTGCAAAGTGCCTTTCCCAAGGGCACAAGGTTGGTGACATGGCAGGATTTGGACCCAGAACCTCTTGGTTCTGTTTCCAAATGCCTGTTACGCCATTCGACCCCACTCATATCACTGTTCCTTTGGACAGCAACTCTGAATTAATTCTTAGCTGAATAAATGTGCATGTATATTCATTTCAGGTAGGTTATTATGATGGGATCTTGTTTGATACCTAAAAATTTATTGCATTGAAGTTCACTGTCATTGTCATACATGCAACTCTGAGAACTTGCAAGTCAATTCAAGCCAAGTTTATTGCACTACAATATTTAACAGGTACAATGTAAGGCAAGGTGTTGTAGAGAACTAAATATACATACATGTAGTAATTATAAAAAAAAAGTCTACTAATACAATCTACACATTGACTGTAAGCTATACAATATTGATACAAGACACAAATAATATACAGTGTAAGGCTAAACTTGCTACAAGATTATATGATCTACTGCAATCTATATATGCATAAATTATTAATTGTAACTTATATTTATATCTACTATATAAATCAAGTATCAAGATATATGTATGTCCCCCTCCCCATAATTTGAGTAGGGCAGGAAAAGTTCAAGATTTTCTGCGACACATCAAAAACTAAACTCATCCGTAGTATCCTCAAGCTACCTTACACCCATCGCCGCCCATTTACTACGATACACACTTACTTTCGGACTCAGAGACGACAAAAAACTATATTTGTTGTGAAAAATTTAAAAACACATGGGGGCAGCCATTTTTGTAAATGCATGCTGGGAAATATTCAAAGTTTAACAGGTGAAAGGTCAATGAACCGGAAATAACCCCGCTGTTCCGGGCAGCGGAGCCACCCCCGCTGATTACTCTTACAGGACGTGAAACCGCAGAAAAGTAGCGGACCGTAGAGCCTTCGGGCCTGAGGGATAGTCGGTTCAAAACCGCAAATAAAATACCGCTGGGAGGGAATTTTCAACGGCACTTGAACTTCACGTTGTCAACAAACCATCTGGATCCGGTGAGTGTACATTAAATCAAGATTTAACGTAGTTTTAGGCAATGTTTTGGTAATCTACTCCAGAGCTCGGTGGCCGCCTGGTTTCGGGTTACAATTTTTCGCCACCTACTAACCCACTAGCTTTGCTACACTTGGTGGCAAATTTGGGGTATTTTGTGATTTCATAAAGGGTGAGATAGTACAGATATTTCTTGTTTTTAACATGTTCTTGTCTCATTGTGATTTTCTTAGCGTTGTGTTCGCAGTATGATTTTTAGACTACTCCAACTGACATGTGGTTATACTGACAAGTCCGGACAAAACACACGCAACAAGTTAGGGATTATGCATTTCGTTCCAAATATCGTCTATCACACTCGTAACGCAGAGATCATTGTACCAAAAACTACTGTCAAATTCTCCTTGTGTTCCCTTTGGGAACAGAATTAGACTCTGTGTGTAGTATTTATTTGTTTTGGAAAGGTTTGACCTGTGTTTAGAGGACCGTTATGCGAGTGTTTTTTCTCTCGAGTAGGGGTCAGAAAGTGTCCCTCGCCGGGACCACACTTCATTCATTCTCTTCCGGCCGTCCCAAATATCTAGGATGCCTTTTTCTACAAACTTCTTTTCCTTTTGTATCTTGATACAATGCCTACTTAGCAGGACATGTGGCTTCAACAGGTATTTGTGAAAAAAGAAGGCAACTCCGCTAGCGTGGAACGTCGTGCGTTTCAACACTTTCACGCACAGGTTTTTCGGAAAAGAAGTGTTGTTTTCAAAAACAACAGTTCGTGTTTTATCGATGCGGAAGTGAGAGAGTCAAGGGACAGTTGCCTTGGTTGAACAACATAAAGTGTGTGCTTGTTGTATTTATCTATTTTAGTGGCAAGTACTAGCTAGGGGCTTGGGATACGTTAGATTTGGCCCAAGATAATGGCTTATCAAGACACTTAATCTGTGTGTTTAGTGTCCCTATCATCTACTGTTTGAGGACTGTCATAATGGCAATAGAACTTAGAAGTATCTCTTTTGTCTCCTTTGCATTCCTTTATAAATAGGCACACCCCAGTTTATTTTGGGTTTCTATTCCAGGCTCAAGTCTAGCCAAGTCTTGAACTTCCAGTGAATTATTATTCGGAAGCAAATAACTGTATCTTACTACAGGATGGAACTTCATGGAAGGATACAAGACCAACTGGGTTTTCTATCTTCGACTTCTCTAATTTTTTAAAAAATTGGTAAAGTGCACAATTGAATTCATGTCGGATAAAATCCATAGAAAAGAAAATTTGCTATAAAAATTTGCCGTATTTTGTTTTTTCCTTGTCAGTGATATCCCTTCAGCTACAAATACAAGACCAACTGAGTTTTGACTTCTTCAACTTCTCTAATTTTGGTAAAATGCACAGAAAACTCATTATTTTCATTTTAAAAAATGATCCACAAGATTGGGAATTGTCTTGTAGGATAAAAGCCATAAATAAGAAACTTCCCCATATTTTCCTTGTGACCAGCCCTCTGGGTTGTACCTCCAAGGAGCCCAACCCCCAAGTGTGTGATCAGTCTTGGATTTAGCAGACCCATGTCACCTGGGAAATTATAAGAACACAGACCTCCAGAGCTGAAGCCCACATGTACAACAAGTCTGGACTTTGGTCTTTCATCAAAGAAAAACCTGTCTTTAGTGAAGATAAGTTTTCATAAGACCAATATTTTAGTTTTTGTGATCACTGTGGCATAAGAATATTGGTATTTTAATCTCTTAAGTCTTCTTCAGTCTGGTCATTAACACATCATTTCTGGACAATTAGTAGAAAACAATAGGTGTGAATCACATAATGGGTTTTCCCTGTGGGGTGTGAACTGTCGGAAATGAGTGATGAACTGGTAGTATGTCCAGGGCAAGTTGATTTTTTGACGTCTTTGTCTTCACACAAACACATGCAAACAAATACACATCGATAGTGATGTACGAACGCACACACACACAAGCACACATACATACCCACAAACACTGGTTTAGGGTCGGTGCAGGTCAGACATCAGAAATACCTGCACAGTTCAAATTTTACCTGCACTAACCTGCATATGCAGGTGGTATTTCTAACCCTGCACTTGTAACTTATATGTACCTGTTTTGTGCAGTTGAGCTATAGAAGAATTGTTTCAACTGTGAACTTGAAACACTTCTAAAACCTCCTTTTTCCTCATAATGTGAAATAAAACCATCTCGAAAGTAAATGTATGTACAGTATCTGAAACATTTTTCAAATTTCAACAAAGTAGTTATCATCTTCCTCCTTTGTTTTGAATTGTATAGTGTAACAGTCTCAAGAGGCTACACTTGAATTTCAAAGTCAAGTGTTGTCGAATACCCCAAGTGGTCCTCCATCATTGCCACCTCCCTTACTTTCCTCACCCTGGGAATTTCTAAAAGGCACTTGACCCTGGGGTCTTATGCCCTCTGGAGTTACCATACTATATGTATATGTACATGTATTACTACAGCCTAGGAAAAATAATTGTGTTTCTGTTTTCACAACAGACCCTAGCAAAACCATAGACCCTCGCCTTTTTTGGGGGGGGGGTAGGCTGCTGTCAAGATGATAACAATTTTGATCTGACTGAATTTTGAACCCTTTGAAAAGCTGTTTCAGAAGCAAAATTTCTTGATTGTCATTTTAATATTGCAGATTGGTAAGCTAAACAGGAAGCTGACTTGGTCTTGCCCAGTGTGTTACAGTAGTAGAGATGCGGGCATTTTGATTATGCATTAATTAGACATTCCCTAGATGTGCTATGTGTGTATGGAACAGAAGGTCTGCATTTGGCAAATGCTGTCCCACTTGTGCTAGGAGTATTTTTGCTGCATCTGTAGCATCTGTCTACATGTATACTGCAACACACTTGCAAAGAGGATCCAGAGTTAGAGGGGCTTCAGCATAAGGTAGGACTGAGGTTTTGCTATAAAATTATAATAGGAGTTTGTATTAGAACATATTGAAGGGATGAGAAGACAAACTGATTATGGAGAAAGTTTTGATTATTATAATTTCTTTGATGATATATAATAATATTTGCAATGAAACATTGTAGTTTGAGCTGTTTATAATGATTGTAGGGTGCACAGTTGAAGTCCATTGCTTTTTTTGTATTCTTACTTTTGGGACAGAAGTATTGTTTTAGGGTGGTGCTGGATTATGGGGAGTTTGTATGTATCTTGTCCAGTGCAGGGAAGCAAGCAAGCAAGCAGGGAGGATTTGTAAGTCAGTGGGCAGAGATTGGGTGTCAGTTGATTGACAGGGTTGTGACCTACATGTAACATGCCTTGGTGGAAGGATGTGGTAAGAGGTTGCCAGGAATGTGTACTGTGTAATCATGGTATGAAGCATAAGCCATAGTGTGATATGATTGCAGTAAGTTACATTATAAATCCATATGAGTAATAATCAATTCTATGATGTAATTCAATCGGGTATTTCCCCATGATTATACAATACACTGTTCCAATACATTCTAGACACATGAAAAGGTGTAGATACATACACAACATGTAGCTGACAGGAGATGCGATGACTTCCATTAGTGCACATGTATCTCCCACCCGGATATTACCATGAATAATCCCAAACAATACTTCCCAGCCAGTAATGCTGGTAATTAAGATGAAAGCACTGTAAAATTCCGCCTCCTAATGGCCTGCAGTAATTTGGCCAGAGAAGCCACTTTCACAGATTGGATTTTCTAAGGGACTAATTATCAGATGACCTGGAATTTTTTTCATAACAGTACATGGACTATTTCTGGAATGTGTCATACACAAGTTTGAACAATACTTTATTTTGTTTGTTACTACAAATTGTTAACTTCCTCTGTTTTTATTCCAATTCTTGACTATCTGATATATATTGGCAATCTTGTTGCAACAATGTGAGATTTTATCTTTGAATATCAATTTATTTTAAAATGCCAGCAGATTGTTTGTGATACAACTTTTAGTTTATGTTGATGGACTGATAGACTGTCAAATCCTTTGTCGGATTCATCTCTCAAAATGATCTTGCTGTCTAATATATATATGTAAGCTGGTGTGTTACGCCGAAGGGCGGGTATACTGGCTATACTGCTCTATACTGATAATATGTTATGTAATTCATGATTTTTTTTCGCAGTACTTTTATGTTTGCGGTTTTTGCGAGGTGGCAGGTAAGGTGGTCTGTGTGGTTAGTGTTATTTAGTAATTAGACTTAAACCCGATTTACAATGTATATGCAGGCAAAAACCTGACAAAACTGGTGTGCTATGCCTAAAAGGTGGCTTATAAGTTATGTGAAACAAACGAACGATGATTGAAAGTTGAAAAGTTCTAAGTCTGGTTCCCGCAGTACTTTCCAGTGGAATTTTGGGTTTGCAAATTTCTTCTCTTCCCCAAATCATGAAAAAATCATGGAATGTGGATTCACTAAATATACATAGAAACCTTCCAGTCCAAACTGTGATGCTAAAATGTAGTGCTCTGAAGTGGTCCTCTCATCAACTCCCCCAGGGAAACATCACTCCCTTTACCCTGATCCTATTATCAGGGAGGTCTGAATTACCTGCTCCATTCATACTGTAAATGGCCACTGATGGGCTAGTGTCCGCGGGGAATACCTGGGATTGTGGTATTGTTTGGCCTGGCTGGGTCATACCAAAGACTTTAAAAATGGTACACACTTCATTCTCAGCTTAGCACTCAGCACATACATGTATGAGATTGAAGAGTATGGAAAGGTCAAAC